TGCGGGAGGAGAGGGCTCTCGAGAGGCCCTGCTGGTCCACCCTGCCTGTTTCTTTACAGATACAATGAGGTCAAGAAGAAAATGGATCCTGGCTTCCCCAAGCTCATCGCAGACGCCTGGAACGCCGTCCCGGATAACCTGGATGCCATTGTGGACCTGCAAGGCAGTGGTGAGCCACCCGGCCCCTGTCGCTTTCTAGGACTCCCGCCCCTAGCCAGGGCCCAGCTCCTTGCTAGCACACACTCCTTCATTGTGCCCGGCGGCATGCGGCGCCCGGAAAACAAACCAGCCCCTTCAGCCGGGGCTGGGACGGCGTCCAGACCCCTGACCTCTGCTCCCTGGGCCTGGCTCCAGGAAGTAAGGCCCAGAAAGGCCCCTCACAGCTGCAGGGCCTGCAGCCAGGGCCAGAGAGGGCGGGAGGCCGGGAGCGGGGAGGGAAGGAGGGACATGGGCTCCTTGCCCTGGATTCATTCCGGGGTTTGGTCCAGGCGCTCTCTCGTCCTGCAGGAGGCCTCGTTTGTGGCCGCCTCCCATTAGCAGAGGGATGGCTCCGTTTGAGACAAGGCAAACTTTGTCATGCTCTGTTGCTCATGTGGCAAAGGTCCCCGCTCAGCCCGGTTTGCCCTGGTTCCTTGCTGAATAAAACCCCAGCATCAGCGAGGGACAGAATTTGGAGCTGGAAAAACTGTTCCTGGGGAGGTTTCTATGAACTCTCTAGGGCCCTAGAAAGGAGTCCAGTTTGGCTTTTTAGAGATTCCATTTAAACTCTACCGAGTTTTTTTTTTTGACTGCCTATTGTATGCTGAGCACAGAGCTTGGACCTCCGGTGGCTAACAGTCTTACACGTCCAAGAAAAGGCAGTGCCCAATCACACGCTAGATTAAGGATCATCTTCGACAGTGAATATCCATTAAGCACCTACTATGTGCTGGGTTTTTTAAAAAAGCAAATGAGATCACGTGTGTCAGGAGCCACAGATTCCAAATTCTGTAGGGGCCAGGCAGGTAGCACAAATGAAGGAAGCGGGCAGCGGCAGACAATAGGGAAGGGAGGGGTCTGCCGTGAGCCAGAGAACACATGGCTCATTTACAGGGGCCAGGTACTTCCCAGTTTCTGATGATTATTGGCCTGCAAGAAGGTGGGCGCTGTGTTGTTAGATAGTCCAGTTGTTTTTAAAAGAAGCCAGAAATCTGTATTTTCATGTGACTTTTCCAGATGTTTACGTGTTGGCAACTTATTCAGATTTAAAGACAAACAAAACAAAACAACTTGTGTGAGCCAAATAAAACCCATCTGTGGGCTTCATAGGGCTGGGAGCCTCTTGTTTTGCCACCTCTGGTATATGGAAAGTGCTTAGTTTGGTGCTTGTGCTAACGGGGGAGTTTATTATTATTATTAATAGCATGTGTTATCTAAATTAATCCTCACCACAAACCCTAAGAGGTTGGTGTCTTTATCCTCATCTTAGAGATGAACTAACAGGGACCAAGAGAGTTTATTTCCACAGCATTTCTCTTCCTCTAGTCCCAGAGAGGTCTCTTCTGGTTTAATACATTGACAGCCACACTAGAAAAAAAATGTTTTATTAAAACAAAACAATCCTTTCTAATGTATTATTTGTATTGTTTTCTGTGCATGAGTTATATGCAATGCAATCCATGTTTTTAGAATTAAATTGCCAATATTAATTGTAACAATAAGAACATCAACAAGTGTTAATAAGATTTTCACAAACCAACTGCAGAGTTTTGCTTCATGCGGCCCTGGGCTCAAAACTAGCCGGAGTTAAATGTAACTCACATGGCAGTCAGTGTATTGAAAGCTTCTTCCGTATGTAATGCAGACATTCAAAGCTCCAGAACCTTCTGTGTGCCAGAACATCAGGACAGGGTGGTCACAGCCTCTCTGTTTTCTCTGTCCCAGGTCACAGCTACTTCTTCTATGACATGTATTACCTGAAACTGGAGAACCAAAGTCTGAAGAGTGTGAAGTTTGGAAGCATCAAATCCGACTGGCTGGGGTGCTGAGCAGGCTGGGCTCGCACAGGCCCTTCCTCCTCTTTGCCTTCTGCACACCCGGCCATGAGCACCGCAGAGGGACCCGTGGGGGCCTGGCAGCCCTGCCTGCAGTTCTGTAGTTAATCAGCGTTCTCACTCCCATCTGGTAATTTAAGAATCCAGAGAGTGGCTCTGCCCTGTGCCCAGGATAGGTGCTGATTTGTACCCTCCCAGCTGCCCTTCCCCCTCCCATCCCACCAGCCCTCAGAGCCACCCCTAAAGACATACTTTGACATTTTCAATGCAGCCCTGCTTTGGGCTGCCCTGGTGCTGCCACACTTCAGGCTCTTCTCTCTCTACAACCTTCTGTGGCTCACAGCACCCTTGGAGCCAATAGAGACTGCCTCAAGAGGCCACTGGTGGCCCAACAGCTTGGCATGGGGCAGTGGGATAAGGCATGGCCAGATGGCCACCCTAGACACTTTTCACTGCTGGCTGCCTTAGAACCTTCTCTACATTAGCAGTTTGCTTTATATGCACTTTGTTGTTTTGTTTTGGTCTTTTTATTTTTCCCACTTTGAAACTGCACTTCCTGACAGAAGGACTCAGGTTGTCTGAAGTCACTGCACAATACATCTCAGTCCACATAGGTTCCCTTGTTCATTCAATTCAATATACCCCTTCCCAGTTGCTTCCTCCACTGGATGGAGGAAAACCAAGCCATGGCTCCCTGCTCCGCCCTCCCTGCCTCTCCCTGCAACAGTTCCCCATGGGAAATGTCAACAAATACGAATAAAGACACCAATTGTGTGGCAGTGTTTGCCATCTGTTTTAGCAGGGCACAGACAGGTGCCACAGCCCCAGCCAGAAGAGGAAATTTTAAAGTCCAATTATCTGCTTCCTTCCGGGCACAGGTGATACCTGCTGGAAAGCTCAGAGCTTCCAAAGTAAAAAGCAAGAGAACCTCAGGGTGGGCGAGCTCCATCCCTCTGTCCTGTAGGAAGAGCCCCAAAGCAGCAGCAATTCTGTTATTGTATTGTAGTGGGGTGTCTGTTCAGGTTCGCTTTCTCTCTGAGTGTGTGTCTTCATTAGCAATCATACCAATGCTAATGCTACTACTGCTAACAATGAACAACAATGATAACAGCCCCTTTATTAATAGAATGCTTACTATGTGCCAGGCATCACTTAATTTAACCTTTACAACCACCTAAAGAGAAAGGCTATTAGTTGAGTTGAGTCTTATTGATGAAGAAACAGGACTAGAGAGAGGTGATTAGCCCAGGGTCCTGCAGGTTTTAGGTAACAGAACCTGTATCAAGGCCAAAGGATGACCTAGAGGAGAAGGTGTAGCCCTCAGCCCAGAACCCCCATTAGCCCCTAAAACCACCCCAAGTAAACACACTAGGAGAGAAATAATATGCTTGTTTCTAAACACAGCTAGCATTAATGGATAAGCTCCTTATTCCTCCTTCCTACCAGCCTGTTCACCCCTAATCCCCTCCTACACAGAAATTATGGAGCTACTGCCAAATGGAAATCTAAGGCTTGGGGTTTTTCAGAGGCCCTTTCTGGCCCTCATAGTCCGATGGTGTACTGCTTCAGGTCTCTCATGGTGGGGCTGGTGGGGAGGGGTTAAGGAGTGGACTAGTGGTCACTCTAGGGGTGACCTCAGTGGGCTTGAAGCCATCTTATCTTCTCCCATGTCCTGCCCCCTGGCTCAGGTTCTTGAGGATCCTGGAAAGAGAACCTGTGCAAGTATCTGGCTAAAGAGCCTCGAGGGCCTGCCAGCCCCTACTTGAAGGACCCCCAAGGCTGGGGAATCTTATATCATGGCTGGAATACACTGTTATCGAGGTACTCTGTTACATTAGAAATTTCAGCTGCTCCACAACATAATAGTGCCTAAAATGTGCCATTTCTTGAGCGTTTTTCTGTGAACACTACGTGTGCATTATTTAATTGTTACTATAAATAACCCTGTGGGGTAAGAATTAGTCTCCCATTCCTAAACAAGGAAACAAGCTCAGAGAGGTTAAGTAACTAACTCAAGGCCACACATGTATCCGGTAGGTAGCATTGGAATATTGTGAGATAGTGGATAGATATGTTTGGAGGAGCAGCTGTCCCAGGGCTCAGACTCCATTCCCATCCTGGCCTGCCCGCCTGCTGTTAGCAGACTTGAGCAGTAAGGTTGAGTTGTTATTGATTTCCATCTTTTAACTCTCAGCCGCTCAGGGCTAGACCACTGATCTCAGGTCCTCTCCTTCCCCACCCTCCCATATAGGGCCATACAGAACCTTGAACTTCCTCACAGTGAAGTGAAGCCACAGGCCAAGTCATTTCCCTTTCCTGGGTCAGGTTCCTCATCTAGTGTGGGGGACAGTGGATGAGTCCTAGCAATTGCAAGTTTCTTAATAGCAGCTTAATAGTAACTTAAAAGCAAGTTTCTAGTGATATTAGCTCAATTTTCCTCTGGAGAATGATCTCCCCCCATCGGTCCATATGTGTTGAGTGCAATGATTCCACTCCTGGTACCAATTCTATTATAGATTAGGACTCTTTCGGCTGAAACCAACAAACGCTCAACTGAAACTGGTTACACAAAAACAAAACATACACCAGGAATCAAACCGATAAACAAAGCCCACCCTAGATATATTAATTCACTTAATGGGACAGCCCCAGGGAAGTGATTGTTTCTGGCATTTCCGGATCCAGGCTCTGATTATCTGAGTTGTGTTCATCCTGATTTTACAGAAGGAGGCAACTGAGGTTCATGGAGACAGTGATTTGGCCAACGACACAGCCCAATAAAATGGATAGAAAATCCAGTCTGCCTGACCCTAAGGCAGGGAGCTCTGGCTGAAGTGTGTCACACTGTTAGGGATAATGAATGGGGTTCCCTTTGGGGTCATTGCTCTGAAGGAAAAGCACTCACCTCCAAGGGGCGGGCTCTATCACCAAGGAGGAGGGGCCAGATGCCTAAGAGGGCGGGGCCTGGGTGTGTCCGAGCCGAGGGGGCGGGGCAACAGCAGCCCGCGGCTAGGTGACCGGCGCCTGCGCAGAGGGCCCCCGAGCGACACCTCTGGCCGGGACCCGGTGAGACTCGGTCTCGGCTGAGGCGTTCCCGGTCTGTCTCCCGGGCCGGGTCCCACGCCTGGCTCGGCCATGAACCGGTGCGCTGAGGCGGCGGCGGTGGCGGCCACAGTGCCGGGCTCGGGCGTCGGGGAGGCGGGGCTGCGGCCGTCCATGGTGCCGCGCCAGGCGTCCTTCTTCCCGCCGCCGGTGCCGAACCCCTTCGTGCAGCAGACGCAGATCGGCGCGGCCCGCCGGGTGCAGGTGAGCGCGCGGCCCGGCGGGGCGGGGCGGCCGAGGGCGCGCGCGGCCGAGCGGGGAGGTGGTCTGACGGGACCCCGAGTCAGAGTCAGGTGGCCTGACGGGACCCCGAGTCAGAGGGAGGCGGCCTGACGCGACCGGAGTCAGAGGGGGAGGTGGCCTGAGGGTCGTGGGTGTGGAGGGAGGGCGGCGAGGGGGCGGGGTGCGGCCCGGGACGCGGAGTGAGGGGCGCGGTGTGAGGGGCGTGGGTCGGGCGCGCGGAGGCGTCTGAGGGCGAGAGAACCGGCGGTCGGAGAGAGCGGACTTTTGAGCGTCGGTGAGTCTGGAGGGGGCAGAGGTGAGGCCGAGAACTGAGCGCGGCGCGAGCGTGTGCGCGCGAAGGGGAGATGCAGAGCCCGTGGGAGCCGACGGGCGGGTCTCACACAGGAAGAGGCTGCTCCGGCTGGTGGCGGGGGACACGTCCCATGCCCGAGAAGGGACAATGAATCTGTCGCCGAAACTTCAACTGGAGCTTGTGAGAGTGGATCGGGAGGCAGATCTGCCGCAGGAGAGTAGGTTTGGAAGGCTTTCGGGTGTTTTGTTTTGTTTTGTTTTGCCTTGGAGAAGGAGAGGAGTCAGGCTGGGGTGGAAAGAGTGAGGGGGAAGGCGGAGAGCCCAGGTCTGGAATGAGAACGACAGGTGAGTCTGGAATGAGAACGACAGGTGAGTCTGGAATGAGAACGACAGGTGAGTCTGGAATGAACTAGCTGAGCAGGAGCATCAAGGGTAGGAAATCAGAAAGCAAAGAAAAGGGACAAAACCGTGAGCTTAAAGTGTTCAAGAGTTTTTGGTCCTGAATTTGTCTTCAGCCAAAAACTTTTCCTAAATTCAAGGATAAGAGGTAGCCCAGGCTGTCTTCCACTTTTTAAATGACTATATTATTAAGGGAAGTTTCCTTTCCTTTTTCTTGTAAAGGCTGCTTTTACCATTAGCAGTTACACTCATTCTTTGGACTTCCTCTTTGTGGAAGTTAGTGATCAGAGAACAAGATAGACTCTGCAAACTGCATTTGTCCCGTGTGTTCTGTAGGGGGAAAACTAGTTTTCATGTTTTCCTGTCCATTTCACACATTACTTTGGATTTGAAGTAGTGTAATTTTTGCAATCTGCCTGTATGCACTAAGACCATAGACCTCTATAGTAGGTGCAAGTTAAGTGCTAGGCTAAGCAGCATGGGGTGGTGTTTAGAGTAATTGTACATAGGTGTCTGGTTGAGGAAGCGGGTGAGAGAGGAAGAGGAACATAGGAATGTAGTAATACCTCTTTGTAAAGAAGCTAAAAGTTTAAAAACTTTATCTTTATGTCTTTAAATAGACAGATGTTTTCTTTATATCTTGAAATGTCTGAAACACTTCTAAATATATTGACCATCATTCAAGATGAAATTTAATCTGCTGTACTCAAATCAGTCATATTTAAATGAAAGTATGTTTATCTATTTGGCTTCATATTTTGGAGGGAGGATCAGAGTAACATGTTTATAAATATTTATATTGCATCTAGGGCAAATTAAGTTTTTCATTGCCTAGGTTGTTACTACTTAGAGAACTCTCCCAATTGTACAGCTGTGAGAGCTGTATAATTGGGAAGACAGCTAGTCTTAGTCAGAAGACCTGGTAATTTATTAGTTGGGTTATAACTTTGGCCAAGTCACTTAACCTTTCTTAACTACACTTTTCTCATCTATTAAATTGAAATAGTAATAACTCAAATGAGTTTTAAAATTAAATGAAATAGGCCGGGCGCGGTGGCTCACGCCTGTAATCCTAGCTCTCTGGGAGGCCGAGGCGGGTGGATTGCTCAAGGTCAGGAGTTCAAAAACCAGCCTGAGCAAGAGCGAGACCCCGTCTCTACTATAAATAGAAAGAAATTAATTGGCCAACTGATATGTATTTAAAAAAAATTAGCCGGGCATGGTGGCGCATGCCTGTAGTCCCAGCTACTCGGGAGGCTGAGGCAGGAGGATTGCTTGAGCCCAGGAGTGAGCTAGGCTGACGCCACGGCACTCACTCTAGCCTGGACAACAAAGCGAGACTCTGTCTCAAAAAAAAAAAAAAAAAAAATTAAATGAAATAATGTGTGAAAGAATCTAGTATAGTTTGCTGATCTTAAAATTGGTAGTTATGCTGTGTGTTGTCTACAAATTGTATGCTGTATGTAAAATTTGCTACTTGGATTGAATGGGATTGAACATGGTCTGGGTATGTTTTACATTTTTAAAATTCATATAGATCAGAGATACCAAAGAGTTTTCAGTGGCTTGAATGGTATGAATAAAGGGAAGATTTCAATAGGCACGGTTGAAAAAGAATGTTATCTGTATTATCCATTTTAAAAGATGGACATACTTTCATTTAAGTATGATTTAATGTGATTAATTCACATTGGATGATTAAATTCACTAAATTTAATGTTGAATGATGATCAATGTCTTGCCTAAGGACTGTTGTCCTTACATTTCACAGAGAAATGTAAAGTTACAGTTACAAAAATATATAGTTCTATGTTTTAATAAGTGACATGAAGAAAAACCAGAGAATAACCCTGAGAGAAGGTCTCCCTACAGAGATGACATATTACCAAATGTAAATATGAGGAAGAATCCTCTTAATTTTTCAGAGTTACCTCAAAATTGGTATACTGTTAAGTACTATTATTTGTTGCAGACCTTTAAAATGGCACAGAAAAAAAGTTGTCCAATATTTGATAATTTGTTCCATTAAAATCCATATTGGTTGTTCAGTATAGATATGAATGACTCTTAAGTGTACATACTTTAACCTCATTCCAACTCTTTCTTCAGGGTCTCTCCTGTGGGCCTTTCTTTCAGTAAAGATTATTTCTTGGTCTTCTAGTAATGAGACCTCTTTGAAGAGAATCTCAGCTAATGACCTACCAGAGTGACTTGGGAACTTTAGTCATCTTATCTTCTCCACTGTACTGTTCTCTAGTACACCAACCATTCCATCACACTACCCACTCCAAATAAATATAACTTTATCTGAAAATAATGTGCTTACCATGTAGAGTTTCAAGAAAAATCTCCTAGATCCAAGATTTCTTCTATGTAATAGTTCTGGAACTCCTACTTGTCTTACCTTATACATATTCTATTTTATAGGAAACAGAGTGATGGCAAATTTTCACTGTATTTGTAAGTCTATTTTCAAGTGATGAATAATTTAACAGGGCTAGTTTGGGTCCCAGAAATGGTGGAGCAGCTTAATTCAGACAAACCTTCTAGTAGATAATAATTTTCAACCTTGGTCAAAATATATAAAACTGTATGAAGAGTAATAAAAATTAAACAGAAACTGGAGGATATTTGTTCCTTCAAAGAAAAGTACTGTATTATGTGAGATTCCCCTCCCTACACCTACTTTTTTCCCTGAGGTTCTTGCTTGACATCATGGGAGGGGATTACTAAAAAGCCTCAGTCTTATTGGCCTGATGTTATCGGAGAACAGAGTTCAGGGCTATCAGAGTAGGTGGAAATTGAGGGGAGAAATCTCAGAAAGTGGAAACTAGAGATGAAGGAACTCCCGAATTGGCATATAAATTTCTTTCCAATCCTTCCCTAATCCCTGAACTGTGTGTTTACAAAGAAGCCTTCAAGGACCCTTGAAGAAAACAACAGTTGGAAGAATGAAGAAGCTGAGCAGACATTTCAACTGGTGAACACCACAGTGGGGGCACAATTCGAATCCCACCAAGTGGGCCTCGGTAAACACTTCAGGCATTGAAACCTCACAAAGGTTTAGGAGAAAAGCTATATCCTTGAACTAAGACTTCAGTCTAAGACCAAGGGCAACTTCAAACAAATTATTCCTAATGAAGGGTAAAACCAAGCCTCCATAAGGTGAAGGTAGTTAGCTAGTATTTTACCTACCTATTGGGAAAGAAATCAACACTTTTCAGAGAAAGATGACAGAATCTGGGATATCTGCAATGTATCATCCAAAATGGCCAGTATGCTATAAAAACAAGAATAGGAATTCAAAGAAATAGGAAAATGTGACTTATGGTCAAGAGAAAAAGCACACAATAAAAATAGACCCTAAAATAACCAGGTGTAGGACCCTGCATATAAACACTGTTAAGTAGGTCTTATAAACATGCCCGAGGACTAAAAAAGTGTTATAATGAGTGAATCGTTGGAGAGAACTTAGCAAAAAAATAGAAACTATAAAAGAGAACCAAATGGACATTCTAAAACTGAAAATTATTATATCTGAAATGAAAAAAATTCACTGTGTGGGCCTAATAGCACATTGGTTATGGTAGAAGAAAGGATCAGTGAATTTGAAGATATGTCATCAGAAATTATTAAATCTAAAAAACAGAATGAAAAAAATTGAGATAGGAAATCCGCAAAATGGTAAAGTAAAAAAAGATTTTCAGGGCCTCTGATAATCATCTTCATAAAAACAATGAAAACACTGGCAAAAATAAAGGAAAAAAGACAGAGTCAACTTTGTCATAGCTCTGAAAATTAAGCAAATGCTTTCAGCAATCCGAGGAGCTTTTATTCAAGAGTTCTGACTCTTGGTCAGAACAGTAAGCATTGTGACAGTTTAACTTACCCTATTCTAATTCCCCATCCTCAGCTCTGTAGTTGCCTTGAAAACCTACAGCCTGGCTGCCAGTTAGAGGAGGAAGAATAGGGTTGGAGCTTCTTTAAATTCCCATTCCCAGAGAATTATCATTATTTGCTTGGTCTGATGGCTTCCTAGAAACCTCATTTGCAAGACTATCTTTATTTGATTTATCTGGAGCTCATGCAGTGCAAATAGCCCTTTCTCAGGGGTGTTTGCCAGAAACAATCAGAGGAAAGCATTCACCTGTAATTACGGCTTCTCAGGAGGCTGAGACAGGAGAATCACTTGAGCCTAGGAGTTTGAGGGCAGCCTGGACACCATACTGAAATCCTGTCTCTTAAAACAAAACAATAACAACAAAAAACCCCCCCCCCGGAGACAGTTGCCTAACGTCAGAGCTGCCTGAGGCAGTAACAGTTGGAGCAAATAATAGGCTTGCCAAAAAAGCTTAAAAGAAAAAGCTAGGGGATGAGGTATCTATAGGGGGCTTTCAAAGCTCTGAGATATTGCTGGGAATCTAGAAGGCCATCCACATATATAGGGTTATGTGCATGCCCAAGGCTATGCACATGCCCTGAAAAGATCTAAAAATACCCTAAGTTGTCACCTCTGTCTAATCTTGAGGCTTTATACAAGCAGAAGTGAAGGCTAAAGTGAAGTTGTGATCTGTCCCTTGGCTGAGTGTGATCCAACATGTACACAGAAACTCTTTGCAAACACCAGGAAACTTACTGGTTCCAGGCATTTAAGAAAATCTGGAATCATTAGCTGACTACCAAGCTAACTGATCAGAGACTTCAGTAACCACATATGACAAGTAATATAAACTTTACAAATTTAATTTTATAAAAGTCACTAAACAAATAAATAACAGCAACAGACAGGAACCACAATAAGCCCAGTAAGGGAGGTGAATCATATTTTCCAAATTACTCTGTTATATTATTTAAAATGTCCATTTTTCATTAAAAAAAATTACAAGATGTGGAACAATAAAGCATGGCCCATAAATAGTAAAAAACAACAATATCAACAACAAAAACCATCAATACAAATGTTTTCTGAGGAAGCCCGGACTTTGGATTTACTATGCAAAGATTTTAAATCAGACAGTTTGAATATTGTCAAAGAACTAAAGAAAATCATGTCCAAAGAACTGAAGAAAAGCATGTCTAAAGAACTAAAGGAACCATATTTAAAGAACTAAAGAAAAATATGAAATAGTGTTTCACTAAATGGAGAATTATCAATAAAGATTTTTTTAAAAGAACCAAATCAAATTTCTGGAGTTGAAAAATATAGTAGCTGAAATGAAAACTTCATTCAAGGGGGCTCAATAGTAGACTAAATTAAAGAGAAAAAAGAACCAGCAAATTTGAATGTAGATCAATTGAGATTATCTAATTTGAGGGCCATGAAGAAAAAAAGATGAAGAAAAATGAACAGAGCCTCAGATACCTCTGGACACTATCAGTTGTACCAACATATTCATAATGGGAGTCCCAGGAAAGGAGAGAGAAAGGAGTAGAAAAATAGAAGAAATAATGGCCAAAAATTTGGTGAATTTCATGAAAAACTTTGATGTGCACACCCAAGAAGCTCAAGGAAGTCCAAGTAGAATAAACTTAAAAACATCTACCTCTAGAGACATCATAAACTGATGGAAGTCAAAGAAAAATAATTTTGAAAGCAGAAAGAGAGAAGCAACTCATCATGTACAAAGAATCCTCAATAAGATTAATAGCTGATTGCTCATCAAGAAGGCCAGAAGGCAGTAGGATGACTTATTCAAAGTGCTGAAAGAAGATGACTGTCGAAGAATTGTACAGCAGAAAACTATCCTTCAAAAATGTCGGCATGAGCAAAAAATGAGAGAATTTGTTGCCGGAACACATGCCCTAAATAAAAGATGCCATTAAGAAAATGAAAAGGCAAGCCACAGAACGGAAGGAAATATTTTCAGTACATATATTAACAAAACTCTTATGTACAGAATATATTTTTTAAAAACTCTTACAAATCGATTAAGAAAAAGAGTTAACAACCCAATGAAAATAGGCCAAAGACTTGGCCACTTAATATAAAAAGTTTAAGGAATGATCAATAAACATATGAACAATGTTCTCACTGTCCTTTTTCATCAAGGAAATGCGAATTAGAGTCACAATGAGATATCCTTTTACAACCACTTGAATGGCTAAGATTAAAAAAACTGATACCAAATGGTAGTGAGGCTGTGAAGCAACAAGAATACTCATACCTTGTTGATGAGGGTGTAAAATATAGTAGGGGCACTTTGGAAAACAGTTTTGAAGTTTCTTATAAAGTTAAGCATACTCTATCACCCAATAATTTCATTTCCAGTGAAATGAAAATGTATATCTTTCAGAGACATATGTTGATATTCATTATATTCATTAATATGAACATTAATATTCTTAGGAGTTATTCATAATAGTTAAAAACTTATAATAGGCCAAATATCCATGAACAAGTGAGTAAATATATGAATTGTTGTATATTTATACAGTGGAATAATACTCTACACTTAAAAAGAGTAATATTGACATATGACAATGTGTTTGAATATCAAAAATATGGAGTAATCAAGCCAGACATAAGAGAGTACATACTATGTGATTTCATTTGTATGAAAATCTAGGGCTGGTAAAACTATAGTGAAAGAAAGGCTATCAGTGATTGCCTAGGGCCAGTGAGAGTGTATTGAACCACAAAGGGCACAAGGGAACTTCTGGAGGTATTGGAAATGTCTTTTTTGTTGTTGTTGAGACAGAGTCTCACTTTGTTGCCCAGGCTAGAGTGAGTGCCATGGCGTCAGCCTAGCTCACAGCAACCTCAAACTCCTGGGCTCAAGCAATCCTCCTGCCTCAGCCTCCCGAGTAGCTGGGACTACAGGCATGCGCCACCATGCCCGGCTAATTTTTTCTATATATATTTGTTGACCAATTAATTTCTTTCTATTTATGGTAGAGACGAGGGCTTGCTCTTGCTCAGGTTGGTTTTGAAATCCTGAGCTCAAATGATCCACCCGCCTTGGCCTCCCAGAGAGCTAGGATTACAGGCATGAGCCACTGCGCCCGGCCTGGAAATATCTTCATTGCAGTGATGATTACATAGGGGGTATGTGTTATAAAACTCATAATCTATAAACTTAAATTAGGTGCATTTTATTTTACGTAAATTATACCTTTATGAAGTTGATTTTTTAAAAAAGATTACCGACACCAAATGTTGGCAAGGATGTACTAAAATTCTCATACATTTCCAGGGACATTTAAAAATGATATAACCCACTTTGGAAAGCTGCTAGTTTCTTACGAAGTTAAACAACATCTATGAACCAGCAATTCCACTCCTAGGTATTTACCTAAGAGAAATGAAAGCACATATCCATAGAAAGGCTCATACAAGAATGTTAATAGTGGCTTTGTTCATAATGGCCCACAACTGGAAACAACCCAAATGTTTATCTATACTAGAATCAGTAAACATATTGTTGTATAGTCATATAGTGGAATAATACTCTGCAATCAAAAAGAATGAATTACTGATATATGAAACAACATAGTGGAATTAAAAAACATTATGGTAAGTAGAAGAATGCATAATATGTAATTCCATTTATTTGACATTCAAGAACAGACAAAACTAAGCTATGGTGATAGAAATTTAGCATTGGTTGTCTGAGTGTAGGGATCGACTGGAAGAGCCACAGGGTGATTTTCTGGGAGTGGTAAATATGTTCTGTATCTTGGATTGGGATGGTGGTTACATGAGTATACATTTATCAAAACTCATTGTATATTTAATGTCTGAAAATTTCCTTGTGTGTAATTTTTACATCAAACTGGACAGACATCAGATAATTAGAATATTTTTGATACTTTTTCCTAAATTATTTGATGATGATCAAATTCATGTAAGGACCAATAGAGAAAGAAAAAATATGGCACTGTTTGAGTAGCATAATTGGCTAATAGAAAAGATAGTGTGTTATACATGAGGATAGTCTATTTCACTTAAAAGTTGGTACAGTACAAGGATTAAGAGCAAAGGCTTTATAATCAAACTAGGTTCATTCAATCCTGGTTCTACCACTTACTAATAACTCTGTGATCTTAAGCAATTTAATTTAATTCCCTCTGTGCCACTCTTTTCTTGTATGTAAAACTTATAACTTATTATAAGAACTGAGTAAGTTACTACATTACAAGTTCTTAGAGTGCCTAGTACATAGCATCCTGGTACATAGCAGCCACATGTTATTTGCAATTCTTAATTTATTTATGTTTTATTCTTATTATTTATTTTTTATTCCTATATTTTATTCCTATTTTCTTCTCCATCTCTTTATTGTTATTAATTCTAAAGGTCAGAAAGGTATATACCACAATGCATTTACTTCTTCACCCTCTAATGCTTTCATTCACACTCTTCCTTCTGCCTATACCTCTGTAAAAGAAAATTTTCCCTCTTACCTTGCTAGCTTCTGCTTGTCTTAGAAGACTATTCAGGCTACACCTCTTTTAGGAAGCTTTTGCTGGCTGCTAAGTCAGATATACCTTTTCTTTGTTCCCTCAGCATCCTCTATTCACTCTCCTGAATGTACAAATCAATTGTCTTATACTTTTCTTCACTTTTTCTTTTGCTACTTTGTAGGCATCGTGAGGTCAGATATGTCTTACTTTTCTTTGTGCTTAAATCTTTGTCTAATACAGGATAGTACTCAATTTATCCTTGAGTGAATGCATGAATAGTATACAACTTTTCTGTTACATATTTCTGGGTAATAGCTATGCATTAAAATAATGTCCATTCACCATTTATTACCAACTTTGATTTTCAGATTTTCCTTCTTGGAATAATCCTGCTTCCAATTCGTGCCTTATTGGTTGCATTAATTATATTACTGGCATGGCCATTTGCTGCAATTTCAACAGTCTGCTGTCCTGAAAAGCTGACCCACCCAATAACTGGTTGGAGGAGGTAAGAAATAAATATGTTCAAATATTTGGACATAATGCTAAATTAAGATAAAAAGGGGTTTATCATAGTTTAGTTAGTGATCAACAGTTTTATCTAACTGCTGCCTACTCAATTTTAATAATTCATTTTTGTTTCTCTGATGAAACTGGTCTTAATTTATCATATATAGAAATTACTGCCCAGGTACATAATAATAATCTTCTCTGGAAGTTGTAATTTCCTAATGTTAAAACCTTTTATTTTTTGAGTTATTTACAAAAAGTGATATATCCTTGGTTCTGAAAGATACCCAATTAGTATACCTGAAACCATTGCAGCTATAAAATACCTTGCTTTCTTTTAATCTTCCTTAGTTTTCACATTTTTTCTTGTTCCTCTTCAGTAATGACATGCTTTCTACAGTGATATAATTAAGTGGCTCAGTTATTTTTTATTGGTTATTTTAGTAATTATTATTAATAACAACTTAATTATTAGCTAATATAGCCTTACTTTTAAAAATATTAGCATTAGGGAAGAATGGAACTGCTTCTTAGGCATTATCTAATTGGAATGGTATTAGAGAACAGACTGATCATGAATGAACAAAGCTACTGGGAATAGTTCATTCTTATTCAGCAGAACCACACCGTTGCCATCTGTATGTCTTAAAAGTGGGGCCTCTTAATGTGGACTCCATGGACTCCACATGGATTCCAAATTTACAGATGGGTTTTACAGCACTGTTGAACTCTCCGAAATTATGCACAATTTTTTCCCTCTGTCAAGGATATATTCCTTTCATCTAAATCTCAAATGGGAACACGTCCTCCAAAAATTTTGAGAAATACTCTTCTAGAAACTTTTAAAGAAATATGCAGTTTGCTGTTCAGTTCATGTTCTAGTGAACAAATGTCAATATCAAACACAAGGCTGGTTTGAAGTGGAAATGAATCCAGTGCCGCCAATGCCCCAGAGAAATCTCAGTTCTTGCAAATCACACTCCTTTGTTTTATAACTTAGGGTTGCGTGGCATAAAACAACACTTCAAGGGATGTTTTTCATGACTCACCAACTCTGTTCAGATTATTTTTTTTTGGTTTCTATTGTTAGTCGTTCATGAAAACCTAGGGTGATGGAAGGAATACGTTAACGATCTGGAAAATATATATAATAAATGTTAGAAAAGGACTTTTTACTTTTGTTAATTAAAACAATATCTCTGTCTCCTCTCAAACAGGTAATGCTGGAGTTACTATGTGGCATCAGACTTTCAGCCGTTTTTAAACATTTAAATAGAAGTGTTTAATGGCTCTGAATATGGGATAAATGTGGTCATCAGAAGCTACATCACTATAGATAAAAAATAAGTGGCATACTTCATACATATCCTTATATGAATAGAAGTCTCATCACTAAACTAAAAGGGAAGAAAGGGAAGTACAGTCCCTGTGCCCTCTTGGACAAGTACTTTGGTTTTCTGTGTCTTTCTTCTATGAAGTAAGACATAGTATTACTATGTATTTACTAGTATTACATAGTATTTACTTACTATGAAGTAAAAGTCACAGAAACTTACTAGGAGCTAGTAGCTAATTGCTCCTCATTATATTATCATAAGAATGCTGAAAGAATTAGATAGGAAACCCATTTTTTAAAACTCTCATTAGCTGGCATGGATGTGGAGAGATAGGAACACTCATACACTGGTGGTAGGACTGCAAACTAGTGCAACCTCTGTGCAAAGCAATATGAAGATACCTTAAAGAGCTACAAGTAGAACTACCATTTGATCCAGCAATCCCATTCCTGGGCATCTACCCACACGAACAAAAGTCACTCTATGAAAAAGACATCTGCACTCGAATGTTTAGAGCAGCACAATTCACAATTGCAAAGATGTGGAAAAACCCAAGTGCCCATCAATATATAAGTGTATTAATAAATGTGGTATATGTATACCATGGAGTTCTACTCAACCACAAAAAACAATAGTGGCCTAGCAGCTCTTGTATTATCCTGGATAGAACTGGAGCCTATTCTACTAAGGGAAGTAGCACAAGAATGGAAAAACAAGCACCACATGTATTCACCATCAAATTGGTATTAACTGATCAACACTTATGTGCACATATAATAGTAACATTGATTGGATGTCAGGCAGGTGGGGGGAGGGGGATGGGTATATTCACACTTAATGGGTGTGGTGCGCACCATCTGGGGATGGTCAGGCTTGAAGCTCTGACTCGGTGGGGCAAAGGCAATATGTGTGACCTAAACATTTGTGCCCCCATAATATGTTGAAAAGAAACTCTCAGTAGATACCTCGTGGGTGATGTATATATTTTATTTTTTGTGAAAAACTGCATGCTTATTCACATACTGAGATATCTATCCTGTGTTTGCATTCCTGGAAGTACTTTTTTCTTTTCCTATTTGATGAGCTTATCAAGGTCAGAGACTATGTCTTACTTGGCTTGTGTGTCCAGGACAGTTCCTGGCACAGTGTGATGGATTAATTACTCTTTAGTAGCAGAATCTTTTTAAAAAGTAAAAGAAGTAGATTTCTGGAATTGTTTATGTACATCTCTGTTCCAGGGAAGTGAGATGGTGAATTTACTTCTGAAGATTCTTGATGATGTCTAAGAGTTCTGACAGTATAGATAACAAGACTTACTTTTTTTAAAAAATAAAATTATCCCTGAGATAATTCAGAAGACAGTTTTATTGTGCGAGTTCTAAAAGTGTTTTGGGAGGTTACTGTCTTCGTTACATAAATGTAGATTCCCAAGATGACTTCTTTGAAGGGCTATATTGATTTGGATGTCTCAGTGGGGGATGTGTGTTGAACATTAATTTTTATCAGTTTGTAGTCTCAGAATGTTGGAGCCATTTATTAGCCACATGTTCTTGGGCAAATTTACTTTACTTCTTCTCTGTGCCTGTTTCCCCATCTGTAAAATGGAAATAATAATAATACCTACATCATAAGATTAGGCTAAGTATGTAAAGCACTTAGAATAGTGCTTGGCACTTGGCAGAAGGCGCTCCATGCAAGTGTTAGCTATTATTCTCTTTAGCTCATATTTTAACATGAAATGTGCTGACATGTTTTGGTTTTCTTAGTAAAGCTCTGCTGCTTGCTTCAATTAGCAAAGCTAATTATGTCTTTTCTGTATTTATTTGCAAAGGAAAATTACTGCAACGGCTTTGAAGTTTCTGGGTCGTGCCATGTTCTTTTCAATGGGATTTATAGTTGCTGTGAAAGGAAAGATTGCAAGTCCTCTGGAAGCACCAGTTTTTGTTGTCGCCCCTCATTCAACATTCTTTGATGGAATTGCTTGTGTTGTGGCTGGGTTACCTTCTCTGGTATCTCGAAGTGAGAACGCACAGGCTCCTTTGATTGGCAGTAAGTACTTGTAACAGATAAAATATTTTCACGCTCATGCTTTAAGTCAAATGAGTTGTATGTAGTTTATTGATAACCTTTTAAAATTGTTAAATAATAAAACATTTCAAATGTGTTTATTGTATGTTGTACTAAGTGGAAAGAATGAATTTATGAAAAAAGATTAGAGGAGACTTCCCTATCTGTAACCTCATAGTTCTTTTTAAAATTTATCTTTGTCATTATGCCATCATTTCTTTCTGTTGTTATATATAGCCAGAAAGACTGGTTTTCAAATACTAAATGTGCTAGATTTGAGACATTTTAACTAAAGAATTTGTGAACACACAGGTTACATGCTATTTCATGAATTTCTCTTCAGAGTATTAGTCTGATAAATGCCCTAAGTCTTTTCTCCTAACTCTGTTTTCTTCATCATTGCCCCCAAAATCTCCATGAGGGACCTATGTGTAACTCTTTGAAAATTATGATGTGGAACAATAAGTGCTTCCTGTCATAAAAAATAATGAAGCAAGTGAAGTGTTTTTCCCACCAGATGTTTTGGTCTCTCCCTTAGGAATTAGTCTCCAAGTAACTGCTTCTTGTTGTCCCAAGATTGTTGTAAACATCAAGTGATGAGAGTAGGTGTGAAAGTTGCCTGCTGTTGTCTTGGTGCTCTGGAGAAATAATAGTTCTTGCACCTTTGTTATTCACCTAAGACACTTTTTTTAAAACATAGCTACTGTGCTTTCTGTCATGTGGTTTTTTCCTAAATAGTTGTGTAGCAATAGATTGTTGGTAAATTGAGGTTTATTTTGCATGTGCCAGGAAGCTATCTATTTAGAAAACTGTTGTGCTGAAAATTTTAGTAAAATGATTAATAATTGCCCCCTCCTTATGTACAATGAATTTATAGAATCAATTTTCAGGTATTCCTAAAATAAAATAAGATAATCTAGTAGTATATTCCAAAGGTTTAATATCAATTGAGGAGGAAGACCTTTAGGGAGAAAATTACATTTGCTTCTTTTCATACTTTTGCTGCTTACTTCTGTTAAATCAATGACATAGTTTTAGGTATAAATATCTGCTTCTTTATTTTGAAATTAGAAGCTAAGTTCTAATAAACTTTGAACTGGAGGTTTTTTAAAAAAAATTGTTAACTTTGATTTACTGTCATTTTAATGTTTCATAAAATTTGTTGAATGATATACATTCAGTATCATTGCTGTGGTGGCTTTAGCCAAAAAATGGCTTGGTTGTGACTTTTTGTTTGTTTTAAAGGACTGTTACGGGCTGTGCAACCAGTGTTGGTCTCCCGTGTAGATCCGGATTCCCGAAAAAACACAATAAATGAAATAATAAAGCGAGCAACATCAGAAGGGAAATGGCCCCAGGTAAAACACAGTGGAGGTTCACTTATATGTATTGACTGTTTATTTATTGTACATCTATAGACTTACTCATTTGAGTCCACAGGTAGCAATATCTGCAGACACCCAGGTATCTTTAGTATAATAGATGCAAAATACATGAAGTAGTGAGTACTAAGAAGTCCTCTTCCCCGTAAGATACTCCATGGAATTCAATGTATCATTATGTTTTTATTCTCCAAACTTTTGAACCATTTTTTTCTTTATGTCATAAAAAGTTATTCTCTAACTCTGAATGTATTTGCCGTTTTAAAGACAAAATAAGAGATACTAAAGCTCAGTTATACTCAACAGTGTGATGGATTTGCTGAAAAAGTGATTAAGATCTTTAATCCTATCTGAAGAATATTAAGATGGTGTTTTTCAGTTCAAGGGGCACATTACAATCACCTGTAGAATCTTTATTCTAACTTTACCATCTCACCACCCCCTTCCTTGGAGGGCAACAGAGGGACATTTATTGCTAATAAGCCAGGGGTGATTCTAATGAGTATCCCTCTGTTTGCCGGTTGAAAACAAGTGACATCTAGCAGACTGGTAGTCCTGCATTGATCTGGCCACGCAGGATAACATGTAGATATTACCAAGTACCAAGTACGAAGAGGAAGTGTGACCAATCAGGAGATTTTAGAAACTAAGACATATGAGCAAATATTAAAAAGATAATAGGGAATAGCTGGCATTGGAATAGTGTTTAATTTCTCTCTGTGGATCCAAAGAATATATCCATGACTGGTAAGTGAGAGATAACAAGTAGATAGATTTCAGCTCATTTTGCTCATTTTGAGGAAGAACTTTCTGTCTGTCCAGAGGTAGAATGGTCTGATTTAGAATCTTTTTCTAGAATGTTTGGGCATTGACTAAACAACCACTTGGGGGGGATATTGTAGAAAGAATTCAAGCATTAGCGATGTTAGGTGACTTAATGCCCCATCCAGCTCTGAGATTTTATGATTCCCTCTATATCCATTCATTGTTAGTAGTGTAGCCGTAGAATTTCCTATGAATAGAATATATTTGATATTGTACCCAATTGTTATAGGTAACCAATTTTTTAATTAGAGGTTGGAATTATACCGATTCATAATTTTTATTTTATGAATAACTTGTTATCATGGCAGTATAGCTCAGTGTTTTTCCCCTTTAGTTATTATAAAATACATGTTACTAACTGCTGTGGGTGCAAGGGAGTTTCTTTCTCATTTTACATAACTAGCAGTTTACTCATGGCTGAATTTTAAAAGCATCAGAAAATCAAGCTTCTATTTTATTTAGGTAATAGGAAAACTAACTGTACTATGTCTCTTTCACGTGGAAAACATAAAGTACATTAAAAGCTAAAAACACTTCCTTAAAAAAAGATACTAAGTTGTATTCCATATGTCAACTAATTCAAGTAAGCATAAAGCACATTGTAAGCATTTCTTCCTTTGTCCTCAAGACATCCCTGAGCTATATGTTATAGGAGTAAATATCATTTAATGGGAAAACTGAAACAAAGAAAGTAGGAAATTATTTGCTTAAGGATGTATAGCAGACTACAGAATTTAATATAGCCTAATGTACACTTTGTGTACATCTTGACCATGACTTATGCTCCACACTTCCTTTTAAGTTTATTCAGATCATTAGTATCATCATTAAGAAACATTTGTTAACTGTATTCTCTATTCAAAGCTTAAATCCATTTTCTGATTATCTTAATGTTCAGACTGTACTTCTTTTAGAGAAAAATTGAACAATCTGATTATGGTTTTCATTAGAATCAAGTGTTAGCCTTTTATTTCATTTTTGTTTTTTAAGCATTGGCAGCTGTTTGTGAAGTCATAAGACAGTGAGTAAAGAGGTAATATATTAATTAGACTGAAATATTAAATCTATTCCTTTTCTCCCAAGATACTAGTTTTCCCAGAAGGTACTTGTACTAATCGTTCCTGTTTGATTACTTTTAAACCAGGTGAGATAAATTATTGTATTATAATAAAGTAACATGGAAGATTTCTCAAATGATTTGATAGCAATACCCAAAATAACTCTCTAGTTTGCTCTGAGCATTTCTTCTTTTCTGATAAGTTTTAATGCTGTGGATCCACAGAACTCTTTGCTTTCTCTTTTGGTATAATAACCCCTTCTTCCTTGTAATGTTTCTTCTGTGTGCATGTGTGTGTTTGAGCAGAAACCACTAACATTTCTCTTTTCCTTCAAGGAACCCTCATAGACATATGGCATCCTATGTGATCAAGCAGAAAACCTATATTTCTATTTCATTGTCATTATAAAGTCTTCAGATGCCTTCTAGGGTTCATTTTTTTTAACATTACAATATCAGTGAATACAACTTTCTTTGTAATTTGTAACACTTTAAAATGTTGTATCAGCTGCTAGAATGCTCACCGCCCAAGTTATGAATCACTTCTATTAATAGCAAATGTGGTGGTTCTTGCTCAAGCATTGGGTTTCATGTAAACTTTCTTCTTATTTTCTCTTTGTCTTGATTTTGTCATTACTTTTTTTTGAATCCTGTTGAAAGGTAGGTATTTGGAAATGAAAACAAGGGGAAAAATAAATACATAAATACATAAATATTTTAAGTGGGTCAGGCATAGCATTTAATATTTTCTTAAATAGTTCTTAATCCTAAAAATTCCTCATTTTGGTAAACAACACTAGGGATTTCCCAACATTTAGCAAATAATTTCAGTTATGTATACTCTTAAAATATTCAGTATATTTATACTATTTATTATTAATTTTTTCTTTATTATAAAATTTTTATTCATATAAAAATGTGCTATAAAATTTCAATGTGGTTATAGGAGCCTTCATCCCGGGAGTTCCAGTGCAGCCCATCCTCCTCAGATACCCAAACCAGCTGGTAAGTATAGTATTTTACCATGGGCAGAATTTTAAATATTCCAAACAGCACAATTTTCTAGGACTTCTTTTAATATTTGAATAATGTTGTAAATAGATAAATGATGGACCCAGATGGGCAGACTCATTTTGCTTGCCACATCTAGTTTTTAAAACTCTGCCCCATAGGCATATATTATTATTATTTTGCTATTACTATACTTCAGGAAGACATTCACTTACCTTCACTCTATTGTTACTATGATCATCTGATTAAGTCACATATTAGGGTCTCATTAGACTGCATAGTAGAAATTTGTGGTTTTCATTAAGCCTAGAAGGAAATTTTTTCTCATTAGTGGTCATTACTAATGGAGAAGGATTAAAGTAGCAGGATAAATTTGGGAAAGGCTTGGTCTTTAATTACGGGCTCAGTACTTACTACCTGTGTGACCCTTGGCAAGTAGCTTAATTAAATAAGACAATATCTGAAAAGAACTTAACAACTTATATAAAGTCCAGAGTTGACTCAAGAAATAGTCTCTTCTGCTCCATCTGAGTACATTGTTGTCCTCCAGATGCTGATTGTACTACCATTTTCCTAAAGAAAGATTTTTGAGGAAATATTTTGATTCTGAGAAGAACTTTTTTTCTTAAACTAGAGAATTCATATAAAAAGGCAGGATATAATTATTAGTTATCTATGCTATTTAAGATTCAGAGTTCTTGATCAGTTCAACTTTCTATTCAGAGTCTTTTTTCTCAATATTAGGCTCCTATGATTAAGAAAAAGAATTAAAATCTATCAGACTTTTATTCATTATATTCCACCTATAGGTTTGAATTTATCATGTATTCAAATTCTTTTACTATGCACTACTTTATTAATCTTTTCTCCCAAATAACCTTTTTTTTGAGAACTGATATATTCTGGGTTTTTTGTATGCTATTTAATTATCCAGATATATTCATATTAGGAGAAAAATAACTAAGTATGTACAACAGTTTGTTAAAAAAAATTCATAACAGCTCATTCCATAAAAAGGTTGGTGATGACATAAGGAAGAGGGATCTTTGCTGTGCATGTGTATAATCTAAGAATTCATAGATCAGTTCACTGTTCTTTAATAATAATAATATGCTTATTTTACTTTTCAACATGTTGCCTTTAATTTCAAAAAAAGATGTACACAAATCCGTGTATTAAAATAAGATCTTTGTTTTATTTACTGTAACAACTTAAATGCTTCCTTCTTTTATTGTAGGATACTGTGACCTGGACTTGGCAAGGATATACATTGTAAGTATTAGTTTTTATAAATTTTTGTAAATTTATAGTTTTTATAAAGTTTATTTTAGTGAATAAAGAAAATATCATTTATTCTTTTGTTTTAAAAAAAAAGCCTTGTTTTTATAAAAGTAAACATTTCTGATCAGAGTCTTAAATCTTGTAACTGGTCAGTCTCTATAGAGAACATCACTGTCTTGCTCATTAACCCCTAGTGTCTCCTGTGTGCAGAATTTTAGTTATCGGTCATATTCAAATGAGTCTCGAGTGTTTGTCTGCCAGTTTGTTAAGTGACCTAGTTTGCATCACACTTAGCTTGAATTTTATGACTTCATTTCCACTGTAGATTTAGCATTATCTAGTGTCTCCATCCTTATTACCACATTGATTTAAGCAGTTAAGAGCAAGTTAGTCATATATCCTGAAATAGTTGGAATGTGTCTGATATGAGTTGAGAAAATAGTTAAACAAGATTTCAGTTCCGTTCTTGGATTTTGAAAACACTGGGATCAGCAGTTTCTATAAGCATTTAAGAGAGGAGAGGAATACAGTTTCACTATTAGGCAAGCAGAACTGAAATAGGCCTTTGGAAAGAACAGACCATATAGAAACTTGCTTTCTCTCAAGATCTTTTTTTAGTTCTCCCTAGATAAGTCTGAGACTGTTTAAATTTGGGTGAGAACCATATGAAACACCTGGATTTGAGGACTTTCCCCAGGAGCTTGTCCACTTTTGATACCGTTAAACCCAGAGTTCAAATAACGTTGTTAATAAATAGGTGACATTCCTTTCTAAATATTTAAAAGGAAATCATAATTTACCTTCAGGAACATTGTAGGCTTCTTTAGATACCTTTTACATAATCCAACCAACTTCTGAAAATCAATTTTTTAATACTGCATAATTATTCATAATTATAAATATTTCTATTTCTTATAAATATTTTTTAAATTATTTATTTATTTTTTTGAGACAGAGTCCTACTCTGTCACCTGGGTTAGAGTGCCATGTCATCCGCCTACCTCACAGCAACCTCAAACTCCTGGGCTCAAGCATTCCTACTGCCTCGGCCTCCCAGGGTGCTAGGATTACAGGCATGAGCCACCTTGCCCAGCCTATTTCTTCTTACAAGTATTATAATAGTTCTAAAAACGTATTTATTTTTTATAAATTGCTTTGAAATAATAAATTTAAATCAGAATAGGTAACTGATGAGCCTGTGGAATAAACATTAACCTATGGGAAACATTTATATTCTTGTTGTGTTTCAGTCCTTGGTAGTTGAAGGTAAGCAAATAACACCAAAAATAAAGAACATAAATTATAAAAGATATCCACACAGCATATTATCTTTAACTCTCCAGAAAATCAGTTTATTCATTGGTCTAGAATACGTGTTTCATGCCACTACTGATTTTGAATTCCTGGTTTTTAGCTTCTATATAAGGGAAAATTAGGAGAAACTAGTATGAGAGCACTTTAGAAAAAGAAATATCTTAAAACTGAATGGGTAGCTTATTTATAAATAAGCTGAAGTGTATGATCCTTTGGGCCTTTACAAGTTTAGTTTCTTATGGAGATAGTAACTTTGGGCTCATTATGCAGTCTGTATGACTTTTTTTGCTTGCACAACAATCTGGGCAAATACGGAGATCAAATAGGAAAAGGCTTTTCTGGAAGGGGAAAGTAGAAGAGTTTTGTCAAACCAGTTTCTAAGCTGGGAAGTGTGTAAAAAGGAGAAAAAGTTGGAGAGAAAATTCAGGACAGAGAGGAAGAAAAAAATATTTTAAGAGTTCCAAGATTTCTTAGGGCTTATAAACAAGCACAAAATCTTTAAAAGGCACAACTTTGTTTTGCCCAAATGCTACATGCGCTTACCTGTGGAAAATCTCATTTCCACCTTTGTCTTCTAATTAATGTTATTGTTAGCACTGTGTCTATTACTTCTAAATCAATTTTCTCAATTGCCCTTGCTCCGAGTGTTACTCTAGACACAGATCTAAGGAAGAGATTTTGTACCAAACTGGATATCCTAAGGGAGAGGAGACTCAGGGAATAAACTTCAAGAAGGGTAGCTATGAAAAGCTGTTTTGTATCAGTTGAAGAAGTATTTGATTTGTCTGTAGTATGTACAAGACAGTTTTAATGAGATCTTATGTGTGGTTTCATTCTTTTTACAGCATTCAAAATTTTCAGAATAGCTTTTGTCTATTCAAATAATTGAATTCCATAGCTCCATTCAAATAATTTAAAAAACAATTTACCTTATGATGGATAATGTGAATTGACTTTGTTTGAAGTTTATAGATTGTAAAATATTTTTTCCTTTTCAGATGGAAGGTTTGAGAACTGATACATTATAATAGTTTATAATTATTTATGGAAGTGGTAAATCTTCCTAAATTCCTTCTTTTAACTAAATTCCTAAACTCCTAAATTTAAACTCCTAAATTCCTTAAGTAAGCCCTCTTAGGTAATTTTTATAGATAAATTATATTTTAATTTCTTAATAGCAAAGAAAGGTTGGTTGGTTGTTTTCTTAAACATGTAGTCTGATCCACTCTACCTGATTTCTGGGTCTACTGTCTAATGAGGCTAAACTAAAAATCCCATAGAAATCTTATCCAGAAGGTCTAAATATTTACTGTAAATCTATAAGTAGGAGCAATTATTTTAAAAATTATCTTTGCAAGGATTGGTTAATCACTTTAAAGAAAGCTTGGTGTAGCCTCACAATGAAATTTAAACCTTTCAGATTTCCCTATAACCAAAACTGGGACAATTTTGATAAAGTTTTTGCCTTTAAGGAAAGGTCCACTGATTTTTTTTTTTTTTTTAATATCAGAAAGTTTAGAAATGTGAAGTCCTACTCAGAATTTTTTCTGTAAATACACTCATGTACCTTGAAATATAGGCTTGGGTAATTTCTCTGGAGACTTAGGTCTGTGAGTCTGTGTTGCCAAGGAAACTTCAAATTTGAGATTTAGTCTATTGAGCTGAAGCTCTGACTCACAAATACATATTTGGTATTCATTTGGTAATTTAACTTTCGAATATCAATAGTTGTCTAAGTCCAAGAAGTACTATAGCTGTAGTGTAGCATTTATAAACAGAAAATATATATGAAGTGTGATGTGGGGGTGTTTGTAAAGAAAGGATTGTTGAATAATATTAGATGGTATTTTTATTACCATTTAAAGATAGCTTTCTCTTTTTTCTCTTCAGCATTCAGCTCTGTGTGCTTACTTTCTGCCAACCCTTCACAAAGGTAGAAGTGGAGGTAAGTCATTCAAAATGTAGCTTGGCACTTGAGATTTGGCCTTTCCTTTAATTTTGAATTTCTAGTCTAGAGAGACCAGATGTAAAGGTCCACCAGCCTTAAAATAAGCCTTGGTACTTTACAAATTGTGTTATCTAAACCCAAGCTGTCAGATTTAGCCCTTAAAATCATGTTAGGAAACACCTCTCACTTCTGGGAACTTGGCCAAAATGGCATTACCTGTTCTCATCCTTTTACTCCTTTTAATGCTGACCTCTGCCAAGTTCAATGATATGCTTTGAGATTCTGCCAAAAGGAGCCTATGGGAACTGATAGAGCCCCACAACTCCTCGAAGAGTATGTTTTGTGAAAGCTGAGAAGTGCTCTTTGGGGCTTAGGGGAGAGACATAGACGTCAGAAGCCCTCACTTAGAGAATCACTTTTTATGTGGAAAGCATGAGAAAATCACATCTGGGAGGCAGCTCATGCCATCATTCACAGGACAGTCTTTGGTTTGAGTTGCAGTGGCAGGTGGGATGTGGGGGAGTAGTTAGAACATTCTAAAAATTCTGCCCAGATTTTTAAGGTCTGATGGTTGGCTTCAGAGCTATTCCTAGTTTCAAGGTATAATATGGACCAGACCCCTTAATTTAGAATCCAGTGGGTTTTAGTGACACCCTCTGGTAGTCTATGAAGAAAGAGGGTTAGAATAGTGGGCACCTGGATTTTCTCATTGCAGCCATGGATTGTGGAATGAAAACCTTGAGTTTGCATATATAATGCAGAGTTCTGAGTGAGCCTAGGGCTCTAAGTGACAGAACTGTGGAATTTAATTCACAAGAACACTATTTTACTTTATTGGATGGCTTAGTGATTCAGCCATTTAGAGCTTATCAGCAATGCCAAATGATAAGAAGGGAAAATTATATTTCAAAATGAGTTTAACTTCAGTGAAATTTGCATGAGGTATATAAGTTGTCTACCTGCCTTAAAAATATGTTTATTAATTACATTCCACATCTCTGCTCAGCATCTCTCATTATGGCCAAAAAACACTAGTTTTGGGGATGTACTTAGATATTTTTTTAAAAAATAACTAATGTAATAAAATTAGGAAGTGCTAGTGTGAAGAATCAGGTTTCTTTTCTGAAGACTTCTCAGTGCCTTTGAAATGTGTGACCACAGAGAATCCCTTTTTCTCTGGATGTCTCTTGGAGCCAGTGTTCTGTAGAATGCATTTCAGGAATCCCTGTATTGTTACATTTCTGAGTACTTCAAGCACTGCTCTTTCTGCTTTTAATAGCTGGTTAGGTAGTCTAGCCCTGTTTCATTTTTGTAAAAAGAAACAAGAAAACCCATACATAAAAGAGCCATGCTGTCTTCTTCGCAAGATACTGTCCCTCTTTCTCAATTGCTCCTCTGCAGCTAAAGCAAATTCTAGGAACAGATGTGGAAATGCACACAGAACTGTCCTTTTTTATATAGCATACGTGCCAGCAGTCAGACTGTGTTACAAAAAGAGGTATACAGATGCCTCTTTTTTTTTTTTTTTTTTTTGCCATGACCACTATTACCACATTTCCTTTTCATGTCATGGCTTGCTTTCTTTCTTTCTTTTTTAAAAAAATTACAATATTTGCATTCTCCAGCTGGGTCTGAGACCTATTTGGATAATATTTTCTGGCAACGAAAATAAGGTATCCTTTGTTCCAGAACTTCACAAACAAAATGGCTTTCAGCTGGTTGAAATAGCTGAATCAGTAAAGATTTAATGAATTAGAATTGTGGCGCAGAGCAAGAGGATGAGAATTTGTGGACTTCAGATTTGGTACTGGTATTCTTATTTTAATTATATTTATTTTAGATTTATGATATACCTTTTACCCATGCAACTTCTAATCATTTTATGCTATTTAAATATGTTAATTCCCCACTGTCTAGATGTAACTGACAATGTGTTCCAGGGTACTAAGTATATATCCATGCCCTGGCTTGAAACTCCAACTTCTCCACCATGTCTTGAGATTGGTAGCAGCCTCAGTTCATTTACTTGCTCCAATTTCAGTTGTCTTGGTTGTTCTGAAGGAACCCTCTCTCTTTTATTTCTCTGTAAAATTAATGTAAAACCTTGTTATTATTTTGAATATGTTTTTAGAACTTCTTGAATATTAGGTAAACCTAATTCAAGATATATTATTTAAGAATATAATATTAGTTATATGGTTTTTCAAATGAGCTTTGAGTGAATTGTTAAAGTGCCCTTTCAGACACTGTTCCTCTTGTAAGTCACAGGACATTCCATTCTGTTGACTGCCGTGACCTTTAGTTTCACAAGTTTCCCTTCAGTAATGATGATTACCAAATTCTTTAATTACCAAAATCACTGTATATCTAAAGTCTAGTGAATGTAATATTGAAGGATATCTTCTTACCTCCTCTCCCTGATCCCTCTCTGCTCCCCTAACATAGAGATTTAAAGTATTTTTTTGACTCTTAGATCATAAAACTATAAATTCCAAACCTCATGTCCTGTGCAATTGGTCTTCTGACATCCTTGAGCAATGAAGACATGTGTGTCTACAGAAAAGTTTTACTGAAAGTTATTCTTTGAGTCATAATGTGGCATAATGGGTATGCTTAAAGTGTTTTTCAGCCATCAGTTTTATCAACCAGATACTTCACAAGCCTGCCTGTATGAAGATATGGCTTAGAGGACAGGGAGTAAGATAGCTAGTAGGAAACCACAAAATGTGACATAAATGAAGAGCCTGCTAGTTTATCTGATGAGAGAGAATACATGCTAAGTCAGACTGTATAGTAACAAGTATGCAGCAGGTAGTTTATGAATGGAAACAGGCATTCACATGGACTGTCCAGTTTCCTTCTTCACAGGCTATATCTCAGTTTGTATTGAAAGCACATTAACTTTAGAAGCCAAGCAGTATCTTATAGATGCATAAAAACAATTTGTCTGTAGGCTTATAGACATGTAGTAGTCCCCACTTATCCTTGAGGGATACATTCTGAGACCCCCAGTTGATGCCTCAAACCACAGATAGTACTAAGCCCTTTATATGCTGTGTTTTTTCCTAAACATACATACCTATGATAAAATTTAATTTATAAATTAAGCATAGTAAGAGATGAACAATAACAAATAATAAAATAGAACAATTATACTATACCATAATGAAAGTTATGTGAATGTGCTCTCTCTCACTCAGAATATCTTACTGGACTGTACCCACCCTTCCTGTGATAAAGAAGGGATAGAGCAGGATGGCGTGAGATTTCATCACATTACCCAAAACGGTGTACAATTTAAAACTTATGAATTGTTTTTCCTTTATTTATTTCATCATATTATGGAGGTACAGATATTGTTAGGGTTACAAATATTGCCCCTGCCCCCCCTCCCTCCCCCCGATATGTCCAACCCCCCGGTGGTGTGCATCACACACGTTATGGAAGCATACACCCCTTTCCTCCTCCCCCCTACCGCCTGCCCACCACCCGATAAAAAGTTTTGTTTTGATTTTTTTTTTGACATTTTGGTTACATTGTATATCTTTGCCTTTCCCTAAGAAGGGTTAGAGTTATGCCCTTCCCCTCCAAAATACTCGCCATCTCCCTAAGATTGCCCCCTCCCAATCCCTGGTGAGCATTGCCACCATTTGAAAACCATAGTTTTAATCAGTCAGTACCAATTTGATGGCGAGTAGATGTAGAGCCCATTTTCCATGTCTTGTGTCGCCTCACTTTGGATAACAGGCTTAAGCTTAATCCAGGATAGCATAAACGGTGCTAGCTCACCGTCATTTCTTAGGATTGAGTAATATTCCATTGTGAGGATATACCACATTTCAATTATCCACTCATGAATTGATGGGCTCTTGGGTTGTTTCCATGACTGTGCAATAGCGAATTGTGCTGCTATAAACATTCGGGTGCAGATGTCTTTATAATAGAATGTCTTATGCTCTTTTGGGTAGATGCCCAACAATGCTATTGCAGGGTCAAATGGTATTTCTATTTCTAGCTGTTTGAGGTATCTCCAAATTCTTTTCCACAAAGGTTGCACTAATTTTCAGTCCCACCAGCAATGTAGGAGTGTTCCTGTCTCTCTGCATCCTCACCAGCGTTTGTTGTTTTGGGATTTCTTGATATAGGCCATTCTTACTGGGGTTAGGTGGTATCTCATTGTGGTTTTGATTTGCATTTCTTTAATAATTAGAGAAGTTGAGCATTTCTTTATATGTTTGCATGCCATTATTCTGTCTTCTTTGAATTGTTTATTTTATATATAATTTTTTTTTTTTTTTTTTTTTTTAAGATACAGGGTCTCGCTCTGTTGCCTAGGCTGTAGTTCAGTGGCATGGTCAGAGTTCACTACAGCCTCAAACTCCTGGGCTCAAACCATCCTCCCACCTTAACATCCTAAGTAACTGGGACTACAGGTGTGTGCCATTACACTCAGCTAATATTTTTAATTTTTGTAGAGACAGAGTTAGGTTATGTTGCCCAGACAGGTCTCAAATTCCTGGCCTCAAGCAATTCTCCCACCTCAGCCACCAAAAGTGCTGGGATTACAGATGTGAGCCACCATGCTCAGTGTGAATTGTTTATTTTTAGAATTTTTTTATTTAATATTTTCAGACCACAGTTGAAATCAGGTAACTGAAGCTGAAGAAAGTGAAAACTCAGATAAAGGAGACTACTGCATTTTGCTTTAGAAAAATTTTTTCACAAAGCTTATAGCTCACTAGAACATTAGGCATATAGCATTGGTCCTAAAATATACTTTATGGTGAGCAATTCATTGTCTTAAGAAATAGCAAGTGATTTTTTTCTCATTTAAAAAGAATTTCTGTTTTAGGAAAGGATGAAAATTATTATAATAATGAGTACTATGATTAACACCTATACGTATATACCGCTTTTTAAATTTTCAAAGAGCTAATCACTTAGGGAAGGTTAAAATACATTTATGTATAGTTTATATAAATGTCCAAACACTAAAATTATTTGTAGTTTTGAATATAAAATGGGCTTCTTAAACCTTCTTCACACTACACACACTCACACACACACTTGTTCTAACAAAGCTAATTTCTTCCGGAACTTGGTAAAATTCTGGAATTTGTACGTACTAATAGAGAAATGGAGTGTTATAAAAATAATGTTAGCTGGAGTTTTAGTTCTAATTCTGCTACTACCTACCTGTATGTGCCTTATTACTTAAGCCTCTCTAAGCCTATGTTATCATTGGCAAAATGGGGATAATACTTATTTTTTAAGATTGCAAGGATTTAGTAAGGTTACTTATGTGCTGGCATATGGTGAGTGTTCAGTAAGCATTAACTTCTGTTCATGCTCCCCTTCTCATTTAGATGTTTCTGTGCTTTGGGGAAGGAAGGTGCAAATGTTCATAAATATCTTTCTTCTTTTGCATTTTCTCTCTTTGAAGATTTAAAAGAAGAATCACAGAAATAACTAGAATTGTACATTTGTTAAGATTGTCCTTTAAATCCTTTTCTATTACAAGGAAAAAAGAAAAGATTAATCATAGTGTCATCACTTGTCAATCTTCCTCTTTCTCCCCATCATTTATTTAGTAGAGAGGAACGTGCTTGATATGGTCAACACACAGTGAAGAAACTAGTTTTACCAGTGCTGAGCATTTGTGTAAAGCATTGGCTCTGGTTAATGGGTAGTATTAAATAATAGACTGAAGAATTTCGACTTTATCTTTTGTGCAGTATAAGGCTGAAGAGGAGGTGGGGAGTTTAGGAGCAAAAGTGCAAACAAGAGATATTTGTTTGGGAAACATGCCCATTAGTCTCCTCCTCTGGGACGGATGGCTCAGAGTCACATGTGTTGAAGGTATAGATAACACTGTGTCTGAAATGGGCAGAGGAGTAGAGCAGTGGGGCCAGTCTCAGGTGCAATGGAAAAGGAAATAGAAGAAGGTCACATAGGCTGTCTTCTTTATAAAGTTGAAAGCAAAGTGCCATTGGGCCAGGGAGAATGAGGTAAAAGTGAAATTGCAACTTGAAAAGCATGGCACACGTGTCACTTCCTTTAGCACCTCTCAGTGTTCCCTAACAGGAGTGGGAGGGCAGGACCAGGAGAGGGGATCGAGGATGTGTGATTGGCACTGCAGGTCTGGAGAAGTGAGAGATTCTAGGTGACAGAAAGGTCACATGGACATGTCTGACTCTCAAGTCCAGAGTAGATAAGAAGGCACATGCAGCAAGAGGAAGTGGATAAAGAGGAAGAAGTAGGTAGGTCCTGATGTGACCATTAGGTTGTCACAATATAAGCAAGACCAGAGTAGGGAAGAAATAAGCACTCATGGATAATGAGGGGAAACTGACTGAAGAACTAGTCAGGAGGAGGAGATTAGATATGTTGGTTTCCATGGCTGAAGTGGAGTTGAGAATATTGTTGGCCAGGGTGGCAAATGGGTCATCAGTGGAAGTACTGAGGCTAATGAGAGAAGATGATGGTAGAAAGGAAAACTTGGGGTCCTGAAGCCAATGGGATATTCAGATGTGTGTTAGGGGCCATAAGAGAGAGTAGCAATCATGTTCTCCTCTCTTTAGTTGATCTTTCTTTCCAAATAAAGGGCACATTCATGCTGTGAGCCTTGAATGACTTTGTACAAAATGGAAATGTGATATAGTGGGCAAGATCTTATCCTAAGAGAGGTGACTTTTTATTAGAATTGTCACTGAATGACTTCTCAGGAGGCATGGGGCCTCAAAGGTCCATGAGTGTCAAATCCAGGCTTTTAATTATTTTGTAGTCTCAGTGGAATTTTTTCCTCAAGAATAAAATGCTATGTCAATATAAGAGTTATTAAAAATCATTTTATGGAAAATATTACCTGCACTAAGAGAAACCAAACCCATAGTTCATTGTATTATGTGTGATTAACGGTGTAGCAGCGATTTATGTTTCAAGGTTTTCAGTATGTGCTTTTATGACCTACAAATCAAGCGTATTATTAATGGTCATTTGGCTTTTTTTAAAATGAAGAATTATATGGCAATTTAAAACTCATTTTTATACTGTTTTGTAGAGTTTTATGAACATTAATTGTAGCTTACTGTTTTCTTCCTTGGATTTCATACTAAGCAAATATAAGAGATTTGACAGATCAGGACGGAGGGAATTTTTAGAAATATTTCTTTGCAAAGATAGTTCTGGATATATTAGTATGTGGGGACCTCTGGTGGCTTAATTTATTTTTCCATCTTAAAGAATAGATGCAAAATGGAGAGCCACACATGGAATTCCAGTTGGGGAAAGGACTTTAGGGATCTTCCTGCCAAACTTTCTCATTTGGCAGGAGAGGGAACTGGGGCCCCCAAAGGCTAAATGGCTTTTCCAGGATCGCAGCAGAGCCCAGGCAGCAACCCCAGCTGAGTGCTCTTTCCAAGGCATGCCAAGCCCCCCTTGGAGAGGCCATTAATAATATAAATGTGCACAGTAAAAGTCATATAGCACATTATGCTATAATTCCTATGCATCTTAGCTTTAAAATGCCACTTGCATCCATGCCGTCCTCTGCATCCTTACTCCCTCTATTCAAGGTCTGATCATCTCTCCCAATTGTAGTAGCTTCCAGGTGTTCTCCCTGCTCTTGGGGCATCCACTCCCTACCACTGAAGTTACTACTTGAAAACTTGGACTTGATCATGTCACACCCTTGCTTAAAGTTCATCTCTGACTCACCAATGCCTATAGGCTTCTTAACCACTTCAGTACGAGTGTCGACTATAGTCGATAGCCACAGATAAACGCGCCCAGCGATTGTAGCTGACGATAGCTGTGATACGAACACGCACAACTGAGTGTCGACTTTAGCCAACAGATGTGACATGACTTTCTTTTTTTTTTTTTTTTCATTTTATTTTCTTTTGCCCATGAACTTTCATTGTCTTAATTTTTTTTTCATTTTATTTTCTTTTGCCCATGAACTTTCATTGTCGTGACATGACTTTCTAATTTTTCATTTATCAAAATAAAATTGTGAATATTTAAAAATAACGTAATGAAAACATATATGCATATGTTACCTATTCTGATTTACATTACAAGTAAAGCTGCCTATAAAGTAGAACAAGCTTTCAGTGCTTTAAAGCTTTCCTCATCACACAAGAGTAAAACGGATTCATCATCAATGCACAGCACAAACTATCGTGCGGACTATGAGTGCCAGCTGTGGGCAAGGTTTCGCAGCCGGTGAGCGCCATACTGAAGTGGTTAACATGATTCACAAGATTTGAGAACAGGTCCATTTGAAGAAAGTGGTATAGCCCTGCCACTTCTGTGTGGCCTTGGCTATATTGTTTAACCCCTTCCATTTTCATCTATCAAATGCCAAATAGGACTTGCCTCAAGGAATTGTTTAGAGAATTAATCATATGAAGCCACTCTTATAAAGTACCCAGCACACAGTAGGTGCATAATGGCTGGTAGCTTTTATTGGTGGATTTGGTTCATTGTATCATAAATTTCCACCCTAGTGCCTGAAGAACTCCTTGAGAGCAAGGGCTTCATTATCATGTCTTCAGGGCTTAGTGCAATATCTGACTCATAATAGGGGCCTAAGTAATATTTGTTGCATAGAATTGAGCCATGAAACTTTTAGCAAGTCATTTAATCTTTGTGAACCCCAATTCTTTATGGCAAAAATGGGGGAAGAATTAATAAAGTAATGCATATAAAATAACTAGCATGATGCCTAGTTTATAGTTACAATTTAATAGATAGTAGCTATTGGCAAAATCATACTTATCCTTAAAAAGCCAAGATCAAGTATTAGTTCTTCTGTAGAACACCCTCTCCCCAGGTACCACCTCCCTCCTTTGGCTGCATTTCCCTGCCCCCAGGCAAAATTAATCACTGCCTATCCCTCACTCTCATACTCCAAAAAGGATGGTTTAATGGGAAAAATAAAGCTTTTTGAATCTGATAAACTTTATATGACTTTGAGTAGGTTAATTAAGCTGTTAAGCCCCATTTGTAATTGAGGGTAATAGGAGCAATGATACTTAGCATGTGGGATTATTTTTATGTTTGTCTATCCTATTAAAATATGGATCTTCTCTGAATCAAGAATAGGGTCCTATTAATCTTGCCTGGTATATAGTAGGAGCTCAAAAACATGTAATGATTTGAATATGGCACCAAAATCTTGTTGATGTTAGAAAACCATATATAAAAATAAGGACAGTACAAATGAGGCATCACAGAATATCAGGTGAAGAAAAAAATAAAACTAAAAATGATAAAGCAAAAAAAAATGATGTCAAGCAGAAAGCTAGGAAGCCAACACTAAGGGTTATTTTTTAAAAGCAGAAGAAATATGCATGTGATATCTTGTTACCCAAAAAAAAAAAAAAAAAAAAAAAAAAAAAAAAAATAAAAGCAGAAGAAATAGCAAGACATAAATTTCAGTGAAATAATAAAAATCTAGTTGATGTTGGAATGGATAGAGAATATAAAACTTTTTTAAAAAATAGAAAAGAAATAAAGAACATTTTCACATAAAGGGGTGTGAGTGATAGAAGATACAACTCTGAGAATAACATCATAGTAGCTACAGCTTTGCCATTTTCAGAATTCCAGACATTGGCTCATTTCACTTTCATAACAACCAGGGAAGTAAGTGATCATAGCCCTCTTTTTAGAGTTGAGGAGACAGTTCAGCAAAGATAAATGACATACTAGTTAACACACAGGCAGACCCAGGGCTTGGATAGGGACCTCTTGAGTGTAAGCCCAGTGTTATTTCTATTTTGTCATGTGACCTATGCTCTAAAAAGATAGAGAATTTAATATATTGATAGTGTATACATTAATTTATTTAGCACCTACTGTCTTAGACCTAAGGATTGTTATGGAAAGGTATATTTGTCTTTCAGTTTATGCCGGTTCAAGTACCAAGTGATGAAGAAAAAAATGATCCTGTCCTTTTTGCCAATAGAGTCCGGAGTTTAATGGCAGAGTAAGTGTCTATATGTGATTGTAACTGGTAAATAACTTGAAAATTATTTGTAAATATCATTTAACATAGTTTTAAGGCTTTTTTCCCCCTAAGGACCTCATTTCCCAAATCATTTTGGTAAATAAAATAATACGCTCAGGGATACTGTCAGTAAAACAATCTAAGTATTTTCCCCAGCCTCAGCCCCCAAATAAGGAAATGTGTCTTTACTGGAAAGACAGAGAAGGGATACGATAACCAGAAGAGACCAGTCAGTGCCTTCCATAGGGTGAATTCTGCCAGGCTGGCCCATCTCTGTCAGACAAAGCCTTGTTTGTGATGATCTAAATGGTTCCTGCGTGGCCTACCTTCTATTCCCTTGGCCTTCATATAGCTCTGCCCAAGGCTGGTGTTTCAAAGGCATTAATGATCGTTTGTAAGGGAAAGAGATACACAAAAAAGGGAAAAAGTCACCGCTGTGAAGGGATGGCTATAAATTTAGGATTTAGAAACTGTAAAACATTAGGTAATTATTCATATTTTCCTGCACTTAAGGGAGTTTTAACTGGCCACCATTCGGACTAGATAAATCACCCTGTCTTGTAATGAAAGAATGTGTTATATTGCACTACCACCCAGGCAGCCCCAGAGCCCTCCAGCTGTGTACCTTCCCCTGGCACCACTCTGTTGCTATTCCCTGTAGTAGATTTGGAGCTAATAGACCAGCAACATTTATTCTTTTAGTAAAAACTCAGTGGGAACTCTGAATTAAACTTCATAGCTGAAATTTGGCTTTATAGCCAAATTTTAAATTACATATGTGTTTTATTCTTATTTATGTAGATATTTTTAATATTTTACTGCAGAATACCTCTATTTTCAAAATATAATAAATTTTTAGTAAACAAAAATATTGTACTACTAAGTGTACTTAGGTGTACTTGTTTTATCTAGTTTCCAGGACAGCTACAAAATTAGCTTTTATATTGTTTTATTCTCTTCCTTTCTTACATTTTCATATCAGCTTATGTCCAAAAGGTAGGAACTAAGATAAGTATTGGAAATGTAGAGAACTTATATCAGATATTTTGGCTTCCCGAAATGTGCCTAAAAATAGAGAAGGGATTTGTTTAGCCAGCTTTTTTCTGAATTTGGAGGCATGGAGGTATAATGGCCTTGGATAAAGAAAACGAAAAACCTTGATTAGCTGTGCAACCTTAGACAAGTTTCTTCCACGACTCTTTCTTCATGTGTCAAATGGGTATTAAAATCATTGCCTTGCATTTCTCGTGGTTTTGAGTATCATGAGAATCAAGTAGGAAAGTATATGACAAAAACATTTAAATAGTAAAGAGCAAAATAAATGTCAGGTAGTAGTGTAACTACAGCTAAAAATAAATATTTACGAAGTATTGTGCTAGTGTTATCTAATGTCATTCTTACAGCAACTCTATGACAAAAGTAAGAAAGCAGACTCAAGGGAAATGTGTCTTAATTGGAAACACAGGGGAGGGGACTCAGGGTAAGTAGTTTGCCCAAAATCATATTAGGTAGTGACTGGGCTGGGACTCAAATCCACATTTCCGGTTACCAAAGCACACACTCTGAATTATTGTGCTGTACTATTTATTATCATAATTCCTGAAATCTTTTAAAATTTTGTTTTCCATGTTACATGTTCTTAACCAAAATATGTATTAACAAAAAATAGCCTAGAAAAAATGTTTTAGGGAAAAAAAGTTTTATTCTGATTGCATTCATTCAAAATTTAATATATCTAGCAGTGATTCAACAAAAATCAAATATAGTTGAAAACAATTTTATGATTTTCACTGAATATTTGTGAATAAAAATTTAGTGAAGAGAAATCTTCAAGAAATTGTTTTATGTACTGTACTCAGTGTTTTTAAAGTTTTTATTAATATATGTGTTTTCCAAATCAAATTCACAATCATTTGATCACTGAACAATAGTGAAGTGGGTAGTAGGAGTTATGCTCTCTTTTGAGGATGGAGGATGTTTGGGTTTAGAAGAAATATCAGTTTATTATCAGTTCATTTCAGTATTTTTAGAAGATTGCTATGTAGCAAAAGGTGATTCCCAGTTAGAAAAGATAAAAAAACACAGATGACTAGTAGTTTGGATAGCTTGTTCACTTGCAGTACATATAAATGCTATTTACCTGTTTAAACAGTACCTCTACAGACATTCCTATTTTGTCTTAACAGTAACCATTTGGAGTAAATAGAGTAGTTATTCCTATGTACAGATGAGAAAAGTGAGGCTTAGGTGAAATGCAGAAGGTCCACAGCTGGTAAAAGACTCCACTAGGACTTGAACTTGAACCTTCTGATTACTTTCCATGAAACTCAAGTCAACTATTATTATTGTTAAAACACAAAACAAAAATGATCAGCTAAAGCAACAGAAGCATGCAGACATAAGGAGATTAACTTGGGCCACAGGAAGTCTGAAGAAGTAGAGAAATAAGTCTCTTTTGAAAGAAAAGCCAGAGCTACTGGTTTAAAAAGTGGTAAATACTTTTCCATTTGCTATTGTTTGTTAACCAATACAGGCCTAATGAAAAATCATTCCTTTTTTAAAAAACTGAATTTCAGTCTGCTTCTTAATACTTCTAGAGCTCTGGGAATACCAGTAACAGATCACACATATGAAGACTGCAGATTGATGATTTCAGCAGGACAGCTAACATTGCCCATGGAAGCTGGGTTGGTGGAATTTACTAAAATTAGCCGGAAATTGAAGTAAGTGTATTTTAAAATGCCTACACTCTCATAAAGTTGTCCAAAAGGGATTTGAAATCCTACTTGTTTACTTTCTCCTGCTTTATTAATGATCAGCTCTAGGACACACTTGGTGTTTATTAGGAAAGTCAGGGTTGTGGATTTATCTTCTATATTCATCTACTTTTTTTTTTTTCAAGAACAGTTAACTTGTAGGTATATACATTGGTCACAGGAGGAGACCAAGGGGTAATAAATGTGGACCTACACAGACCCACCTCCATACTGGGAAATGGCTCAGGGTAGTCAGTCCTGCCACCCACCTTCTTTTACAAAGGTAGCATCATTAGGTGGCATTGATATGTGGTGCTCAGAACTTCATATGTGAAACATAAATTGATTTGTCTAATGGCATTTCTGACCACCACTGAATTTTAAGTGCTTACCCTAGTTCTACTGTTCTTTTCTGGGTATGTATTTCTTTTTTTAAAGGTAAAAGCCCTCCTTTGTGTTTTTATTATGTAGTTTAAACCATTTAGAACATTTCTTTTGACCTATCTGGTATGAAAGGTGTAACCTTCAAACCCCTGTCTTATTATAGTTCATTCTGTTCTCAGTCCTATTAGGAATTTGCAGAATTTATTGATTTAATAGACTTTGGCAACCTCCCCAGGAAGGAGCTACAGGACCAGTTTCTATATCAAAGTTCAATATTATAATACAACATTTTGATAACTGAGTACAGAAAATATTACTTATATCTTCTAGATAACAAACATGTTTTGTCTTTGTTTGGGTGTTATGTTCACAATACTCCATAGATTTGAAAAGTTTAGATAGTCACTGAAATTGGGCACAGAAGAAATACGTGTTTGGTCATTTGTTTAATTCTACAAGGCAAAAACAGAATGTGATATAAGCTACAGTATATTTTCCAGTGGTTTTTTTTTTCTTTTTTGAGACAGAGTCTCACTGTGTCGCCCTGGGTAGAGTACAGTGACATCATGATAGCTCACTGCAACCTCCAAGTCCTGGGCTCAAGCAGTCCTCCTGCTTCAGCCTCCCAAGTAGCTGGGACTACAGGCACGTGCATGATACCTGGCTAATATTTCTATTTTTTAGAAGAGACGGGGTCTCACTCTTACTCAGGCTAGTCTTGGACTCCTGAGCTCAAGTGATCCTCCTGCCTTGGCCCCCCAGAGTGCTAGGAGGTGTGAGCCATTGCGCCCAGCCTCCCATGTTTTTTTATCAACCTGATTTTTCATAACTAATATTGGAAGAAGTGTGTAATGAATCTCCCTATTACAACATTTTGAGAAATATGAATTCATTATCAGCCTGAAAATTCCTTGAAAGCAAGAATTGTAATTTCTTTTGTAACAACTCGATAACTACTATTGACTTAGTAGTTTAGATTAAAATATGCTTTCTTATTTTCTTCTCATGAGTCATTTATAATTCCACCACATTGTTCTTCTTCTCATTTATTTTTCTTTCCCTGAGATATTTGGGATGAATATCAGCTATATTAATATCCTTTAAAAGACTAAATGCGTACATGTTCAATATGTACTTTTAAATACCTGTTTCATTCTCCTTTTCAAATTTAACACTTAAAATATTTTCCCTTTGACAAATTAATCAAATAGTGTTCATTAAGGGTCTGTGTGAATTGTAAAGGGCTAATAACGTGTGTTTATAATTCTTTGTTTGTTTAGATTAGATTGGGATGGTGTTCGTAAGCATTTGGATGAATATGCATCTATTGCAAGTTCCTCAAAAGGAGGAAGAATTGGAATTGAAGAATTTGCAGAGTATTTAAAGTTGCCTGTTTCAGATGTCTTGAGACAACTTTTTGCACTCTTTGATAGGGTATGTTAAAATTTAATCTTTAACATTTTTACTCTTCCAGTCCCCACAGGGCATAAATCCGTATGGCAGGCATTTGAAAAATCTCTTAGGTCAGTGTTAGAAGAATCAAGGCTGAGCCTATGGTTTAATTGCATAATTTTATTTTTTTCCCCTTAATGGTAATAATAGTAATTGTGTGTGTATCACAACATTTATGATAATGTCATTTTTTACGTGATATGATATGATAGTGTCTATTTATTTTAAATGCCAGGCCAGAAACAAATATTGTGACCATATAACCATATTTGTAATATGGAATTGGAAGAGTTTATATAATTGGAAAGAATTTTAAAACTTATATCAAAATTCATACAGTGATGAAATGAGTGGTAAAATTCCATTCTGAAGGTTTTTGGACTTCCCCAAAAGTGTGTAAAGACCAAATAGAAAGGTTTCAATTAATATCTGGCCATTTGACTTTAGTTTGGGGATACAGTTTGCTGGTTATGAATATGTAAGTATATGCAATTAGATAATTGAATTGTTGAAAAGTTTCCTTAGGAAAAATGTATCAAGATTTCAAGTTGTATATTTTTTAACTTGTTTTTTAATATACAAAATTGATAATAAAATACACTCTTGTGGTTACAGCTATATGAGTTGTAACAAATGCTTAGAGGCATGTAACTACCACTACATTCAAGATACACAACAGCTGCAAAAAAATAAATATTCCATTGTAGCTATCCATTTGTAGTCAAGTCCTTTCCCCACCCTTAACCCCTGGCCATCACTGACCCATTCTCCATCCAGCTTTTCCCAGATGCCACACAAATGGAATCATATGATATATAGTCTTTTGAGTCTGGCTTCTTTCACTTAGCACAATGCATTTGAGGTTTTGCCATAGTTTTGTGTGTATCAGTAATCTGTTCCCTTTGATGGCTGAGAAGTATTTCATTGTATGGATGTACCATAGTTATTTTATCTGTTCTTTAGTTGAGGAGCATTTGGTTTGTATCCAGTTGGGGGCAATTCTGAATATAGCTGTCAAGAAACCACATTTTTGCTCATCCCTAAGATGCAAACTCCTCATTCATTCAAATTTGATCATGAGGTTGCAGCAATTCGGTAACATCTTCAGGCTCCACTTGTGTTCTAGGTCTATAGCTATTTCTACCACATCTGCAGTTACTTGCTTCATTGATGCCTGAACTCCTCAAAGTCATCCATAAGGGTTACAATCAACTTCTTCCAAACTCCCATCAATGTTGATATTTTGACTTCCTTCTATGTTTTACAAATGTTCTTAATGGCATTTAGAAGGATGAATCCTTTCCAGAAAGTTTTCAATTTACTTTGGTCAGATTTTTCAGATAGTGAAAAATCACTGTCTATGTCAGCTAGAGCATTATGAAATATACTTCTTAAATCATAAGACTTACAAGTTGGCCGGACACGGTGGCTCACGCCTGTAATCCTAGCACTCTGGGAGGCCGAGGCGGACGGATTGCTCAAGGTCAGGAGTTCGAAACCAGCCTGAGCAAGAGCAAGACGCTGTCTCTACTATAAATAGAAAGAAATTAACTGGACAACTAATATATATAGAAAAAATTAGCCGGGCATGGTGGCGCATGCCTGTAGTCCCAGCTACTCGGGAGGCTGAGGCAGGAGGATTGCTTGAGCCCAGGAGTTTGAGGTTGCTGTGAGCTAGGCTGACGCCATGGCACTCACTCTAGCCAGGGCAACAAAGCAAGACTCTGTCTCAAAAAAAAAAAAAAATAATAATAAGACTTACTCTTATTTAAAAGTTAAAATTACTCCTTGATCTGTGGGCTGCAGATTGGATGTTGTGTTAGGCATGAAAACAACATTCATCTCCTTTTACATCTCTATTAGACTTCTTGGGTGACCAGGTGCATTGTCAGTGAGCAGTTATAATTTGAAAACCATCTTTTTTTCTGAGGAGTAGTTCTCAACAGTGGGCTTAAAATATTCAGTAAACCATGTTATGAACAGAAGAGCTGTTATCCATGTTTTGTTGTTCCATTTACAGAGACATGCAGAGTAGGTTTACTATTAATATAATGCTTAAGGGCCCAAGATTTTGGGCATGGTAAATAAGCATTGGCTTCAACTTAAAGTCACCAGCTGCATTAGCCGCTAACAATAGAGTCAGCCTGTCCTTTGAAGCTTTGAAGCCAGGCATTGACTTTTCTCTAGCTTTTAAAGTCCTAGATGGAATCTTCTTCCAGTAGAAGGCTGTTTTGTCTACATTGAAAATCTGTTGTTTAGTGTAGCCATCAATGATCCTAGCTAGATCTTCTGGGTACTTTATTGTAGCTTATCTATCAGCTCTTGCTGCTTCACCTTCTTTTATGTTACAACATGGCTTTTGTCTTTAAGCCTCATAAACCCCAGACTCTGCTGGTTTCCAACTTTTCTTCGGCAGCTTCCTCACTTCTCTCAGCCTTCATAGAATTGAAGGGAGTTAGGGCCTTGCTCTGGATTAGACTTTGGCTTAAGGGAATGTTGTGACTGATTTGATCTTCTGTCCAGACCACTCAAACTTTCTCCATAGTAGCCATAAGGCTGTTCTGTTTTCTAATCATTTGCATGTTCACCGAAGTAACACTTTTAATTTCCTTACAGAATTTTTCCTTTGCATTTACAACTTGTTTAACTGTTTCATGCAATAGGCCTAGATTTCAGCCCTTCCAGACTTTCGACATGTCTTCCTCACTAAACTTAATTATTTTTAGCTTTCAATGTAAAGTGAGAGATGGGCAGTCATTCTTTTCACTTGAATACTTAGGGTTATTAATTGGCCTAATTTCCATACTGTTGTGTGTTAGGAAATGAGAAGGCCTGAGGGAAGGGAGAGAGAGAGAGAGACTGGGGAATGGCTGGTTAGTCCAAGCAGTCAGAATACACACATTAAGTTCACCATTTTATGTGTGTGCAGTTCATGTGACACCCAAAACAACTGCAATAGTGACATCAGAGATCACTGGTCGTAGATCACCGTAATGGGTATAATAATAATGGAAAAGTTTGAAGTATTGGGAGAATTAGACTGTGTCTTTGTGACACAGAGACACAAAGTGAACAGTATTGTTGGGAAACTGGAAGCTGATAGAGTTACTTGACACAGAGTTGCCACACACCTTCAATTTATATAAAAACAAACAAACAAACAAACAAAAAAACCCAGAAAGCCCAGTATCTCTGAGGGATCTAAAGTGAAGCACAATAAAAGGTTTGTCTGTTTATATAATTCTGAGTTGACTGTTCTTTTCTTTCAACAGTTTAAAGATGTCCTACTTTAAATTGGCCTCAATGGTTTCGCAGCCTTACTGGTTGTTCTTCAAGTTTTGACTTTCCTCACCCATCCTCCTGCTATAATATTTTGTCCAGAGGTAGTTGCTTTTTGTATTTTGTCCAAAGTTTCTAGTTATAATTGGGAGAGATAGGCTCAACTGGGCTTATTATATCTGGGGTGGCACCAGAAGTCCCTGTTCTCTTGTCAGCCACTGGGAAAAGATATTTTGCAAAGAAATTATAGCTTGACAGTAACCAGGACAGGGCTTTTTTCTGTTTTTTTCCTGGAGCACACTAATGTTTCCAATGACTTACTCTGTGATCTCATAAATGAACTATTCTTTAACATGATGCTATTAAGCAACCTTCTTCTATACGTAGTGCCTGGGCCTCTCTTCTGGGCCCGCTTGCTGCAGACGAATAATCTGTCTTCATCCATGAAATGATAATATATCACTGCATCAGTATCACTATGAAGTGTAATGAAGATTAGGACAAGGGAGAAGTCAATTATTGGATGTAACTGTGCAAATTGAGAAATTAGAGGTACCTTGTCACTTGTGTGATTACTAATCTTTCTGTGAGATTTATATAATGTCTTCCACTGTGGCACTAGAAACCATGCAAGTAATTTTAAATAAAAATTTTATATAGATAAAATCAGTTACAGGAAGGACTATGGTAAGGACAATACAAACAAGGACAGTAGGAAAATAGGAAGGGACTATGAAACAGGAACAAAGGAGGAAGTTTATAGTATATCTTAGACATGGAGCTCACCAGGATTTTTAATCAAAATTAAAAATAATATCTATAGGTGTTGCCGTCTTTCAGGTGTCAAACTGTCATTGCTGGCAGTTGCAGAATTATTATGACACCAGCTTTTTGATGATTGATGATACCTGCCAACAGCCTCATTATTTCTATGGCATTGTTAAATACAGGACGATTTGGGAGTAGGGAAGGGCACAAGGATTAAAATAACTGGCAGTTAGCCAGATTAACTCACTCAGGACTAGAGAAGACAATTGTCCCTGGCAGTCAGAGGTTCCAGAGCCTTTGTCACCTATTTGGTCATTCACACTTCTGCATGGACTGCTTCAGCAGGCTCACATATCATTTTAAAAGTTTTTTAAAAAATTCTTTATATAGTGTGATTTAGGTTTAGATATATCCCATAAGCTGGTCTTTAAAGTGGTTTTCTTTTGCTCTCCAACATACTGGAAGGTCAAGAGAATAGTCTAGAGAATTAATGACTAGTGCATTTGACCTTTCTTTTTTTCCTTTTTTCCTTTCTCTCTCTCTCTCTCTCTCTCTCTCACACACACACACACACATTCTCTCGCTGTTTTTAACACACCTGCATGTCCGTGCCTGTGAAAGTTTGCTTTGTTTTCAGATAGTGAATTATGCAATTGTTGCCACACCTTGTGCACATACCTACCTCCATGCTAGGTTTGTTTTCTCAGTCTCTTTAAGTGATTGAGCTGGGGAACATTTGATGGGGAAGGCAAGGAAGTTCAGCAACTCCACAGTTTGTTTCTCTCACAGTAGCTTATCTTGCTAAACTCAGTGCTTGAGGAGGGGTGGGAGTAGGGGGAGGAAGGGTGGGAAAGAAAGGGTGGGGTGTTCCTGTTGCTCTTTTAGCAGCTATAAATTCCTGGCTGTGCAAAATGCTCCCATAAATTCCTACAGTG